ATTTCTTTTTGATGAAATAAATAAACATTATCATCCAATGAATATGCTCTCATTGACTTTCTTCGTGAAGCTCAAGCTGACGAGCATCAGCTGTGATATCGGCAACTGAAATAATCATCGATGGGAAAAAATTTCTTTTAGGAATTGTGCCGATTCGAATGAGGCGTATTTCGATGCGATCAATGCTCTTTGAAGAAACACTCAATCGTTGAATTAACAAAGACGTATTTTTAGTAACAATTAGCTGTTTTAGCTTGTAAATTTATTCGATATTTGTTTAAGAAATGAAATTAACAGTTTATGCGATGGAATGGAATTTTTGTTTTTAAATAATATCAACATTTCCTCAGTGGAACTTCCGATTGAATATCAATAATTGATTCATGGCATTTCAATTGGTTGCTCCTACCTTCAACTTTATACCAAGCAATGTGACGATGGCCTCACAACTAATTCGAATTTAAACAGACAAATTATTTTAATGATCTTGTCATCGCAGTACTATTTCATGACCTTATACTTACGCGCGCATAGTTTGTTTTAGTTCATCGCCCCAAATAAACAGACCACGTCCTTTCACAATCACAGCCGGATATAATGGTTCTTCGCGTCCACATATCACCAAAATTCGCTGTTTCAGGGTGTCATCAACATCATTTGGTATAACCGGAATAGACACAGTATTGTTGAATGAATAAAAACGGTCGTTGACCCAATCTTTCAATAGCTGCGGACGAACGAAACAATCAGCTGTGAATAATTGAGCATACTAAAAATTCCCTTACCTCGAGCGACGTGTATCCACTGAATGAAAATCTGTCTCCTTGGCAAATTTCGCCAGCCGCTAGAATGTCAACAGTATGAATATGCATCGTAGTGTTTATTTTAGCTGCTCTCCATTCATTGAACGGGATTACGAATGGCTCAAACAACCTGGAATAGATGGATTAAATGCAAATAATTCGAATCATAACACATAAATTTCGGGGGAAAATTTACTTGTTTTCGACAACTGATGGGGCTATTTCAGTGGCACCTTCGGATGAATAATCCATGTAAGCCAAGTTATTAGTTGCGATTGATCTGAAATATTTGAGATGAATTGATATTGTTGATATTTTTAAGTGTTTTTCAATTCTAGGTCAAGTTTTTTCCTAATAACGATCGAACCTCCACGAACATTTAAGTATCCTTTGCCTTTGAAAATGCCCTGCACTTCGTCTATTGATAGTGATGCCTAAAATTGAAAATCCAAGCGATTTATGTGCAATAAATATTGATTGAAAACAAAGGAAAATCTTTTTTTTTTTCCTAAAAAATTACCATATTGAGGTGAGACGTCTGACACGGAGAATATTTTACTAGAATTGAGGTTAAGTATAATAATATCTCGTTTTGGTTAAGGTCAACCAACACGCATGTGTCATGTGCTTTGTCTTAAGTATGGTTCACATCAAGTAACTTATAAAATCGTTTTTTTTTTGAATATTTTTACGGAAATATTGTAATAATCTAATCTTATGTTTAATTAAATTATTCAGCGCATTAATTACAGAATGTGGAACGGAAAACTAGCTGTATTGACTGAGTTAACGTTAATTTTTAATTTTTGAGCATTCGACTACAGTGAAATTTTTGCTCGATGTATAATAGCTTCCATCTGTATTTACGTTTCGTTCATCTCTGAACGTACAAATATATTTCATAAAGGTAGATTCTGCTGTGGAAAAAATGGAAATCCACAACATTATTGAAATTAAATGGACCAAGACCATTGAAATTAAATGGCCCATACTGCGGAAATATGCTGCAATAGCAGCCATGGACATTTGAAGTCCGGAGATATATAAGTACTGGCAGATATTCGCTTATATATTGAACAAGTCTTGGACCACAATTTTCCATAAGAAAGATATGTAGGTTTTCTAATTGGGGATTTAGTTTGATCATTTCGATTACAACACCTTCATATGAACAGCCCACCTCAAAACAGCTCTTATCTGAAATTAATCCTAATTTTTTTAAATTTGGCAAATGTTCTTGAATCACCGAAAAACTTTTGTACTTAATATTGTTCAAACACAAAGACTGTAAATTTGGAAAGAGTTTTGTAAACAGTTTTGGCTCGAGAATGCATGACGATATCTTAAGATCTGTAACATTTGGAAAAGGATTTTCAATGTCTTCGAATAAACTTTTACATTTTTCATATGGTCTGCCATAGCTTGTTATAGATTCGTATTTGTCGTATAAGGCCAATTTTTTTTAATGATTTTGTACAATATTCATTCAAATAAATATCGATCTTATCACTTCCTTTGTAAAATCCTACATGATTCATTGGGCAGAAGCATATTTCAATGTCTACCATTGTATGTCCGAAATTTCTCAAAACTTTTAGAAACATCAACTCATCCCTTTCTCGTTTAAAGATAAGACAATTGTCTTCGTCTCTCTCATCGGACTTGCAAAACCGATCGTAGCCCACAGTTGGAATAAGTCTAATTTACGAGAGAAAAAAAATTATGAATGACATTAAAATTTTATCGATTATTTGAATAAAAAGAAAAACACGCAGACACCATACCGAGCTTTTTGAAGATATCCGTATACAATTTTCTTGATACCATACTTTCGTTTGAAAACGGAAGAGACTGCTGTGTTCAATTGCTTACTCGTTTCTGCAACATTTACCAAGTCTTTCAGTTCCAAATAATCGAATATCAGCTGTTTGCAGTCGTTGTTTATAGTCACAAGGCTTATTGGTTCAGACTTAATTGATAATATTTCTGGGCAATTATTCGATTCCATATTGTTGTGCATCGTTAATGTGGCACTTCACAGCTATATACTGATATAATTCAATTTTCCGAATCCTTGTAGTTTATTGACGAGTGGTAACGGTAAATGGAAATCGATTTAAATTTTAATTTTCTGAATTTTATGGAAAAAATTGCTTGACATTTACACCCCTGTGAAAAACCCCATTTATTATGAATGTGTTGGTAATAGTGATGGCATACTCTAACGAATAGCATAGCATCTGGTACTACTACATATACGTATTTATTTGAATTCATTTCCTAAGCATTCTATTCAAATCGATAGATTTATGAGTGTACACAGAGACTTTGATTCTTTTTGCAGGTTTATGAATTGAATGAAAATTAAAGCTGCTCACGAACCGAACTCGAACAGTTCGAGTTCGATTTTTTTTTGAATTTTGTGTTCGTGTTCGTTCAGAGCCATGAAACCGAACTGTCAAACTACAACGGGGACCGCGTAGTCGGTTGTCATTCGTTGCGGAACGCGCTAAAAGTATGCATAAGTACATGAGTACATATTTCAAGCATTCTGGTTAAAAAATATTTCAATTATTTATAAAAATATACCTAGTGTATTAATATGAAAACCCATTTTTAATAACATTTTAGAAACGTTTGAAAAAATACCGAAAAAGAATATGAACTTTCTTTTTTTTTGCTCAGAAATTCTTTGCTAACATTTTTCTTGTTTTTGATTGACAAAGTGAGGTTAAGTATCTACTGACATGTTCAATGTGTAGAACAAATTTGTGCACTCGGTGGAACAAAGCCATTGTGTGTTTAAGGAGCCACTTTATTCCCATGGCTCCTGAAACACATTTTCAAGCTCACTTTGTAGGAAGCGAACGTAAAAAATGAGAAAATTGAATTAATTGATTTCAAAATTCATTTGAACATCAGCAAATCTAAAGAAAACTTAGATAAATATGTTCATGTTGGAAACATTTTTCTAAATTTGATAATGTGGATGTGTCATCCAAATCATTCATTGCATTTAAATAGGAAATAAAGAAACAACATAATTTTACACAAATATTCATTTTCCACTTGATTTTATCATTTTTATTCACTCCATGAATAATATACGTTCACGAAAATACGTTGTCTTTTTCAATAGTTCAAATTCAACGAGTCGTTCTACGAAGTTGCACTTAAGACTGTCTGGCGTGTATTTAATTTGTACTTTATTCTGACAGCCGCGTTGTAATTGATGATGACAGTTCGGTTTCGCCCCTCTGTGTTCGTTCGGGTTCGGTTCGAATTGTTCGAAACAAAATAAGTTATGTTCGTGTTTGTTCGAGTTCGATTTCGATATGTTTTGAACTGTTCGAGTTCGATTCAAGTATTTCGAATGTTGAATGTAAGTCATACAAACACAGAGTTTCTCAGGAGGTCAAGTCTTCTTACTGAAATGCCAAGAAATTCACACATTATTCAAGAAAATCTCGCCAACAATTTGGGCATATCTTCAACGATTAGACGAAATAATATTAGCAACATAGAAGGAACAACGATATTACAATTGTGAAAACGGTTCCAAATTGAAACTGGCAATGAGTACAGGTCGGTGCAGGTGGTCCTTGGAACTACATTCAATTCATAAAACTATTGAAAATTGAACGATTTGAAAATTTCGTCGATGAAAAAATTGAGTTGATTTGTTCCCTTATATGAAGAATTCTCGACATCATCTTTTGACCGGCGAAATTCTGTTTTGCAAATTCTAGGCATGGTATTGGTTTCAATGAGTTCTGTTGGCCCATTGGAACTCTTTCAATCCATTGAACCATCATAAAAAAGTGTAATTCAAAATTTCGTTGAAAAAACTTCAAGTCAATTTTTTCCCAATATGAATGATTTTCGATTCCAAGTTTTAAACGACAAAATTTTTTATTTTGCATATTTAAGCTATAGAATTGGTTTCAATGTGTTCAAGTAGACTCCAGGAACTCATTCAATTTATTAAACCATGAATTATTATTTGATTTGAAAATTCTGTTAAAAAAAATTCTCAATCGATTTTTGCCTTATAGATTTATGTTAATATTACACGATATTACATTTTGGTATTTTCCGTTCTAAAACACAGAAGACTGAAAAATTGTCTTACATAAATTCAAAATCGTCCATACAGCCACTGTTTTACTAGAACGATCTTATAGCATTGAGCATATTTCAATCATTTGAATTGATAAAATATGCGAGTTAAAACAAGTTTGCAATCTGAAATTTGATTTATTTTCTCTCGTGCAAAAATGACTTCAAAATTGTTCCACGAAAAATTGAAATATATTTTTTTTCGGTAGTTTTATGAGCTGAATGAGTTTCTGTAGTCCAATTGAATATAATGAATCCATTCGTACGACTAAAATACCAAAAACAAAAAATATTGTTAGTCAAAAGATGATGTCGAAAATTCTTCAGATAAGTAAAAAATCGATTCAATTTTTTTTCACCAATTTCGAAATACACTTGTTCTTCATAGTTTAATGAATTCATTGAGTTTCTAAGGGCCAAATAAACTCATTGAATCCACTACTGTGTTTAAAATATTGGAAACAAAAAATTTCGCCATTCAAAAGTTGCAATCGAAAATCTCCCATATAAGGCAAAAATCGATTCAGAATTTTTTTCAACAGAATTTTCAAATCGAATAATAATTCATAGTTAAATAAATTGAATGAGTTTCTGGAGTCTACTTGAACACATTGAAATCAATTTTATAGCTTAAATACGCAAAACAAAAAATTTTGTCGTTTAAAACTTGGAATCGAAAATCATTCATATTGGGAAAAAATTGACTTGAAGTTTTTTCAACGAAATTTTGAATTACACTTTTTTATGATGGTTCAATGGATTGAAAGAGTTCCAATGGGCCAACAGAACTCATTGAAACCAATACCATGTCTAGAATTGGCAAAACACTAAATTACAAGTATTACTCTCTACTAAATTACAAATTTATAACTACCAACAGGGACTTGTTAGATTAGACGTAAAACTTTTCTTCAATGTATCACCTCTTGATAAATTGAATGATGACTTTTGCAGTCACTACAGTGTTAACGCTTCAGTTAGTCTTTCATTTTTTACACGTTTAAGTTAGGCTATATTGGACCGTTTACATTTCGGCTACCTATGCATTTCCATGTATTGGTTAGGTTATCTTGTGTCAATGCTTTTTAGACCAAATTGTTATACCAATCGAGAAAGACTATTACAACTACTTATTGTATTGATAGACTTCACAGATGGACTGTTGAAAATAAATTAAACCTCAACATTGGAAAATGTTACGCCATGACATTTTCAAATAAGATAAACCCAACACCTGCCATTTATAACATCAATGGCAATCCACTTGTAGAAGTTGCTGAAATGAAAGATCTGGGCGTTATCTTTGATAGAAAAACTGTTGAAAATAATAGCGAAGTTGTCTCGACGGTTCAATAAACTTTCCCTCCGATCGATCAAAATAGTAATTGTAAAATTAGCGGTAATTGAACGACAAAAAAGTAATTGTATAGGTAATAGCAACGAAAAAAGTAGTTGCAAAAAGTAATTTCTGACCATAAATTACATCCAAAATGTCGAATATTACCTCTTCAATTACTTATTTCAGGTAATTACTTTCCAAATTACATTTTCTCTAACTATCACTTTTCAATGAAAAGTGATTGAAAAGAGTGATTTCACACAGAAGCAGCAGCGCCCCGCCGGAGAAATTACACCCGACGTTTTGTACTACGACAATGCATGCTAGCCGGATGCTTAATTTTTTGACACTTAACACCAGCGCCACATATAGCAAGAAGTTGAACTAAAAATAACACACGAACTCCTATATCGATCACCGCACACACGTAAATAACTACTAGAAATTGAGGTTAAGTAATTTTTTTTCTGAATTCGCACCCAAAGTTTTTTTGCCAATGGGTTTTTTTTTTTTGACATGTAGAAAAAAAATATTTCCCCATTGGCAAAAAAACTTTGGGTGCGAATTCAGAAAAAAAATTACTTAACCTCAATTTCTAGTACTTATTTACGTGTGTGCGTGTATAGTGTTTACAGTTTTGACTACCGTGGCGCACACGTTTGTTGCTAACAGGCATTTACCAGGGAGCAAATCAATTTATATTGTTTAAAAAGCATTTCGGTCGAAGTTTCACTTCAAAAAATACCTTTATTTCTCTTTGATTTTGTTGTGTTATGGAATGTTATTTCAAAATGTGCCGCATTTTCCCTCCAAGCATTCGTTAGATAACCGATTCCTCCGGTATAATTGTCTGTATACGAATGTTTACGGAAAATTATTCCGTACACAATATAAATACATGCAAAATATATGTTTGTTGAAAACCAATATATTGTTTTTCTTTTTTTCCCTTAACCCTCTAATGCATACAACCGCCTCTAGACGGGCAACATTTGAACGCCTCTATAACGTAAACCGTACGTTGGATCACATTGCTTCAAAAAGCATTTTTATTTTTCAAGGTGTCCTCTATAATTTTGTCTTTTGCCTTATTAGTGTACATCAAGTGGTTGTCGTGTTATGAACAAAAATGTTTGCAAAAACAAAAATTTGACAAAATCAATTATTCGAACTCCAAATTAGACACATTTTTGACACTTTTAATCAATGGATTTGATTGTTCTCTGATTTGTGTCAATTTATGGCATAGAAAACCACCGTACAGTGACCTACTATGGGTCTATATCCACCCAGTTTTTGACGTAGAATCGATTTGTACTTTCATTTTACACATGTTTATATGATTTTAGTGTCGAAAAATACGATTGTTTCAAAACAAATGAGCGAATGACGCACATGAGCTTCAGTTCCATGGCTAAATCACCCCATGGAGCCAACATTTCTACCTTTGCCACTTTTGAACTTCTAGTATGATCCTTTACGAACATTTTGAATACCGACATGACCAAGTCAAGTGATGTTTTCACATATTTCTAGCCTCATATTCTGTTGGTTCGACTTCAACTCTCAAAAAATCGACTTTTCTTCAAAAAATCCTCAAATATACACTTTTCATGGTTAGTGTCTTAGCGCAAAGTTATTTTTTCTCCAAAATAAGGGGAGTCTTCCCAGTCAAAAAGTCGAAAAAATGATTATTTGAGCTACCCCCCGAACGAAAAATGATAATTTGCCATGCAAAACGTAACTTTTGTTCGGGAGGTAGCTCAAAAAATCATTTTTCAAAGTTTTTGACTGGGAAGACTCCCCTTATTTTGGAGAAAAAATAACTTTGAGACTAGCTAAGACACTAACCATGAAAAGTGTATATTTGAAGATTTTTCGAAGAAAAGTCGATTTTTGGAGAGT